ATTCTAGAAGAAAACCTTCTAGAATGGGTTTTCTTCACATGTTCTGGTTTCCTTCCAGAACATGAACGGCTGCTTCTCTCGCAACTCCCATGAGGAGCGTAAACCGACTGCTGTGATGGGAGAAAGGGGGAGAACTTGCCATTAAAACACTGGAACTGGACTGGCTGTAAAACTGGAGAAAGACGACGCGACAGAAAATCTCATGTGTACGTCTTTCATCAGTAGGTTTCTAACTGAGAAGCATGACTTACTTTTCAAGCCCAAATATCCTGAGTTTAAGTACATCGTTCTAATTTATATTTGGAGACTCAACAGATAAAAAGTGTGAAAGCAAAAGTGTTTTTTTTTTTTTACTTATACATTAAGCCCTTGAAAGAAGTAAGACTAATAAAAACAAGCCTGTAATTCCTAAAATCAAAATCTGATCTTGGAGTTGACCCTAAATGTTGTAATTTCCATATTATTACGCAAAGCCTTTCTGCAGGAATAATAAGGAAAAAATGTTTTGTTTTTCTAAAACAAAGGGGGGCGATTAAATTATATTGCAAATGCACACAAAAATGTGTGTAGAGGGTGCGGCACATTTAAACACTCAGTCTCTAACACACATCCAGCCGAGTGCTTATCTGTTTCATAAATTATTTCACGCTTTAGAAATGTTTTGTTTGTGTCTGTGTGTGACTATTTTTACTTTTTGGTGTCTGATCTACTTCCTGTTTTAAATGCATTTATTTTTGCATTCAACCGAAGCAGGGAAGTTTCAATTTAGTTAAACGTGGTAAAACAGCGCCATCTTGTGTTAACCCTCCTGTGATATTTCTAATTTCTTCACTTCATCACCTTCACGGCTCATCAATGAGTCGGTGCTTGGTTATTGATTTCCATCAAATCAGTCATATCCTGTTAACTGCTTATCATTTTTAAAATGTTTGTCTTCCAGAAACAATTAAACTTCTTTAGAGGTGAAAGTAAAAATAAAATTGCAAAACTAAAACAGTGGGAAAAGCAGTTTTAAGATGGGTAGAGGTATAATCACTGAATTAAAGCAATATTACTTGCAGCATCCTAATGTATTTGGCTGTTTTCTGTGACGCATGTTCATACCTCATTGTCTCCAAACTTTTTTTTTTTAGCTTTAAAATGCAAAGATGTTCATGTCATCTGTCAAAAACACTTTAAAGAAAGTGTCTTCAATAGTGGACCACAATAAAGCTGCATAATGCTTACATGTAGAGTTTAAAAACTAGAGTGTGTAGGAGACAATAACTCCCATTTCTGAGAACTGTATGGTTTGAGTTATTTTACATTCTAAGAGTAAGATTAATCTATTTTGTAATTCTACAGAAGGAGAAAAAAAAGGTAAACGTGTCACTAATGATGAGTTTTAGAGACACACTGCACAAAGAACTACTCTTACTCCTCACAGCAATTTAAAAATTAGTTTTGGACGTGGGAGGAAGCTGCAGTACCTGGGGTCAAACCCATGCATGCAAGTGGAGAACATGCAGACATCATGGAGAAAAAGCTGGGATTCAAACTCTTGCCCTTCTTCCTCCAAGGCAACAGTGCTAACCAACTGCAAAACAATGTTAAAGTTATTGACATGTTATGTAAGTGTGGCTGCGTAGTGAAAGTGTCCTGCTCAGTCTGTAGTTTCAGATCTGTCACACACTGAAAACAATTGAACAAACTTAAAAAAATAAAATAAAATAAAAAGTTGCCCTGTTATGACAAGTGCCTGCAGTTTTACTTTAAAACCAGAAAACTGTGGTCGGCTCCGTTCAAAAACAATCATGTCATCAGCAGAAGTAGGACTGGTACCCGATCGCAGCTGGTTTCCTGATGTTGATTCAGAGAGGTTCTTGTTCTCAGAAAGTCATGGCATATTGTCTCTGAGGGGGGAAAAACCCAGAGGGCTCAAGCAATGGGAAATCATTAAAAATATCAGCGGTTAACCACAGACATGAGGGCTTGTTCGGAAACGTCTCATAAAACCCCAAAACATTTTCTGGAAAAAAATCTTTAATGTGTCCGCTTTAACATCCGTCAGCCTCTGGAGAAACGGAAAACAACAAATTAAACCAATATGTGAGTTTGTACTTTTGTTGTTTTGTGCTGTTGAAAGTGCTAAAGGTTAAAATTACGGTTATGTTGAATTTAATCTGAAGGGATTAAACATGAAGTGGGATCCAAGAAGAGGATGTTCAAATCTTTAATTTTTTTCCTAAAGCAGCAGTTTTTTTTGTTTTTTTTTACAAATCAAGTATACGTTTCTACTCTTGTCGCAGTCAAAGGTATTTAAAGCCTTGCTTTTATTTCTATTGCTTAAGTCATTTGTGCTGGCATTGTTCCTCGCTCCAGTCTGCCATTACTGGAGCCGGATGATCACACCTGCTGGTAATGCTGTTGTCTCGCAAGGCTGGATCCAATTTAATAAATCATTCAACTTATCGGATTAAGCACTAAATTAGTATGTGGCTCCCATCCAATCAGAAGCAGCTGCTCCAGATAAAAACCACCGGCCATTGGCTCACCGACACAGCAGCCTTAGGACCGTGTGTGAGAGGTCGTGACCCCTGCTGACCTGGATTACTACACGCTCCCGTAGCAATCTCTTGAGCCACTAAAAATAGCCTGAGCCCGAGTTTCTCTAGTGAAGGGCTGCAGCGACCCGGCCTGCCCTGACCCAGTCTGAGGCTGTCTGGATTAGAGCTCTGCTACAGAACAGCCAGAGACGCATCTCAGAGCTGCAAACAGGCCAACTTTATACAACCTGGTAAAGGTGCAAATTTTTTTTTTTTTTTTTTTGTCTTACATTTGAGCTTTGGAGATTTTTCATTTTTACTTTCTATATCATCCCTCCCTCTGTGCATAGTAGCAGAACAGACTTTGATCCTCATCCAGCTCCATTAACAGCTCAAATTATTACAAGTTTTTGATTTATTGTGTCAACTGTAAATATGGGCAAATTTAAGCAAGGAGCCAATTTCCTGTCAGGGTCATTTTGTGCAGTTTAATCCCTTCCTACTTCCTTTTCATGTCTGTAAAGACCCATTTAAATTTATGAACTGAAGCCATTGTGGTTCAATTGACACTTTGTATTCTATTTTTACGGCCCACACAAAGTAATAAAAATAGTGAAATCTCAAGGTAAGAGAATTTTATTTAGATAGCACATTTTCAGCAACAAGGCAATTCAAGTGCCGGCAAGTTTTGCATCACTTTAATCATCTCATGTTGGCCAATTGACTTGTTAAACATGACTATGACTCCTAATCAAACCTCAATCTTTTAAAACATTTTTAGCTTTAAGGATCCGATTACTCAGCTAAAATAAGAGCCAGATTTATTTTAAGGCTCTTTGCACAATTCAAAAATTGTGTCAATAAGCATAGAGTACATTGAACCCATGCAAATTATTTTACATTAAGGTTACCAAACACGTGTGGATGAAGTAAAGCTTAATTTATTGGTTTATGGAAAATATATCACATTTTTTACATTTGTGAGATACCTTCAGCTTTTAGTCCATTAAAACATTTTTATTCCAAACATGTCTCAAAAAGCATCTCAAAGCTGCATTTAGAACTCGCCCCGCGCAAAAATCGTTTTCAATTATTTATTCTAACCAAATCGCTCTGAAGCCACCGCTTTGAAAACGCTTTAAACCAAATCCTGCACGTCTTCGCTACGGAAGCATTTTCCTGCCCCATCCAACAGTCCAAATTAGATACAACAGCCCAACCGTAAGGATTATTTGTGAGAACAATATATGAATTTCGGTGCATTAGAACAACAAACAGACTGGAGTTTGCTCACTGGACTACAAATTGAAGAGTTGACACAAATACAATAAATGAGTGAAACATACGCATTATTATAGCAGCAGCAGCAACAGTGACATTTGGTTTGTTTCGCTTCTTTTTGAAACCGTTTTTTTTTTTTTTTTTTTTTTAAACATCCACATGGTTGATACCAAAGTGCGACTGCATGGAAAGGTTTTACATTGCTATAGGTTGATTTATAATATTCTGATGAACTACGAGCCTTGCAAGGTTGAGATGCATTTAAAGAGTATTATGGCACATTTTAAATCCGAAGAGGAAACATGTCACAGATCTTTGTACTAGAACAATAGGCAATGCAAACTTTACGATACACTAATATATAGATATATTTCGTAACCAAAGTTTGTTGTCAATACATTAACGTAACATTTAAAAAGCATCACATCAATATATATATATTTTTTTCATATCCATTTGCGGAACAAATGTATCAACTGCAGTTATTACAGTGTTGTTGTTTTTTTTTTTGTCGTTTTCTTCCCCCCACGATAGTCAGTCTGAAACAGCAAAGAGCGCGCCTGTTTCCGATCTGTGCCGCAGGCGGCATAAAGCCTACAGCTCAAAACACCACAACATATCCCACCTTTACGTCTCAAGTTCTTCTTCCGTTCCTGAACTCCCGAGCCGCTCGCCTCCAGCTGAGCACAAACACCCTACATCTCAACTAACTGCTCTTGCAATAATCAATAGTGAGACAAATTGTACAGATATATAGCTATATGTTCATGTATATACCTCCAGTGTGTACACAAACTGACCACTACCTCTGATGGGTTCAGAGCCTCCTTGTTGTCACAAGAGACGGCCACAAAAAGGGTGCATGCAAGAAGAGTACTCGATTCATGGTTGTTGTTTTTTTTTGTTTGTTTTTTTTGGTGTTTTTTTCTTTTAAAGAGTTAACACAGGTGCAAGACAGTTTTCCCTTGTTGAAGACTATCTGGAAAGAATTAAAAAGCCAACGTCCCTGTACAGATTATAGCCTTAAGTTCTATCCTTCTACCAGTTCTGTGTTGCTCTTTCCTCTAAATTAATCACCAGCTGGGTGACTCAGCAGATTCTTGGTCTGAAGTTGGAGGACTTTGGCCCTCTTAAAGCTTGGTCCTTTAACTTCTTTAGGGATTATTCTGTTGGTGTTTTTTTTTTGTTTGTTTGTTTGTTTGTTTGCTTTTCTTTTTTTTTTAAACAGATACCTTCGAAGTATTATTTGGTTGTTTTGAAGCACACATTGAGAAAATTCCTACAGGCGAGTGGTTTTTGAAGGGGGTGGTTGTTCGACATTTGATAACTGTTCCTGCTTTTTAAGTTTCTTAGACGACGGTAATCTTAGTGGGACGAGCAACATTGAGAGAAATTTCAGCGCTCCCTTCACTTGGCGGTCATCATCTGGACAAACTCTGGATGGAAGAAGACAGTGCGACATTTTTTAGATATACATGTTTAGAAATATCTCTTTAAAAAAAAAAAGGGTTTTATTTTATGGATTGGTAGTAAAGACAACTCACCCTCATAGTTGACCTGGCCATCACCATCGATATCAGCCTCGCGGATCATCTCATCCACTTCCTCGTCTGTGAGCTTTTCACCCAGGTTGGTCATGACGTGCCGTAGCTCCGCCGCGCTGATGTAGCCGTTACCGTCCTGCAAATAAGACAAAATCTTATTTTGGGACGGTAGGACATACATATGATGTCTTGAAATATTCATAATTTCTGCTCTGTGGTTTGGCTCTTCCATGGGAAAATAGACTAGCCTGGTGACTGAACTTCCATTTTAGGAAAAACACCAGTCCTTTTTATCAATTATCCAACAAACTGGTAATTCGGTGTTTAATACAAAACCCTGACAGACGAGGAAATGACCAGGTTTTCAGGCCGATCACCGATATCCAGAAAAATGTTGACCTGCTTTCATAAATTTTTTTGGTCTGAGAAGTTGCTAGACATAGCCAGTAACAGCGGGGCGACCGTTGTTGACAGCAGACGTGATCTGGTGGGTGGATTCGTCTCACAGTGGAGCAAAAGAGGACAGTGGCCGTTTTTCAGACCTTTGTGGGGGCAGAAAATGTCAATGGACAAGAACTGACCGATCATCCAAAAATAAGGAACATGATTTATCAGTGGTCTCCTAGTTTCTTTGTTTCCGTAGGCTAGTTCAAAAAAGTAAAAACGGAGCCCAATTTAATATTCATTATGAGTTACTTTACCCAAAGACAATTTAAAACCAAGATGTTAAAATATTTCTCCTGCATCTTTGCTTAAAACGTCTCTAGAAAGTTTAACTACGACTAAAAACAAATATCTTTTTAATGTGTTTAACAAATAAATTACACTTCAATACAAAAAAAAAATCATCATCTAGAATAATTTGGGTAAAGCGTCTTATTTTAGGACAACACAAAACTCAGACATTTTTCCAATTAGGAATAGTTTTGAATGTGCTTTTCTTGTCGTTGTTACAGTATCAAGATAAAAACATTGTCCAGTTTTGCTTGGGACTGCTGATTAATTTAATGCTGTACCTTGTCAAATACCCTAAAGGCTTCCCTGATTTCCTCCTCACTATCTGTATCTTTCATTTTTCTGGCCATCATAGTCAGGAACTCGGGAAAGTCAATCGTTCCATTTCCTACAATGTGAAAGAGAAACAAGTTAGCTTTAATTTGGCTAACAGGGCAACTGTTACTGAACACCATCACAACCAAGAACAAAATAACTGTTTAATATTAGCAATAGTATAAAATACGTTGAATTGTCTCAAGGCTGGGGTGGACAAACATCTGCAGTGACTACTGAACACTTTCATGTCTAGAACATAAAGACAAATCAGACACGAGTGTCGAGTCTTATGACTGCACACGGATCTTTGTTTTATAGGACCGATATGGTTGAGAAATTTTATTTGGTTTCTTTACCGTCAGCATCAACCTCATTGATCATATCTTGCAGTTCAGCTTCGGTGGGATTCTGTCCCAGAGAGCGCATCACCGTGCCGAGCTCCTTGGTGGTGATCGTACCGTCGCCATCCTTGTCAAACAGTGAGAATGCCTCTTTGAACTCTGCACATTAACAGAAACAGTGGCCCCCAGTTGGCTTCAGACTTTATTTAACACAAAGTCTTAATAATGGTCAATAATTAAACTATGTGGAGCATTAACAACACATCTGCAAAGACATGCAATACAAAGAAGAACCAGAACTTTTTGAAAACTTTACTAATCATGGCCAATAATAGAATACGACCTTCTTCAGAACATGCACTATTGGGAAAAAAAAACCTGTAAAAGTAAAAAAAAAATAAAAATAATGTTCTAATGAGCATATATTTCCTCAAAAAGTTTTGTCTTTCAAAACCCAAAAGCTTAAAGGTTCGCCCACATAATCTTCAGAACAACATCCGCTGGTTATTACATTCACAAGATCTTAACCATACTTGTAGTGACAGAATGAACCCATTTCTAAAATGCAACCTTTGCTGGTTTTTCACATTTGGTGATGAATTAAGGTGCTTCTAAAGATAAAGCAGGCCAAACATGGCTGAGGTATGCGCTCACCAGCAATCTGCTCCTCTGTCAGCTGATCAGCCTGTAAACAAAAGCACAAAACACTTTTCACATTTCTGCTCAGTGTAGAATGTATTGAACTTGCAAGTTACAAGATTCAAATTTAATGTAAATTAAATGTGTTTGCTTGCATGGATGTTCAAGGACACAAATTTAGACAAGGCGATAAAGTAGACAAGAAAAAAGACTGAATAAAAATGCCTCTTTAAGGATCATATCCCTACCTATACACTCAGTAAAAATAGAATAAAAAAAGCTCAAAGTGTGCAAAAGATCTATTCTGCAACAGCTGAACCACTACTTATAACCTAAAATAAATTTTCTACAGCAAAATCTATCATATTTTAAAGAGTTTACTTTTTTTTTTAAAGGTCCACCCTGCCAAATCTGAAACTTTGTGCATTTTTGTATACAAATGATCTTTCAACAAGTGATTTGAAAAGCAAAAGCGACTCTGCTCTGGAAGGTCAGACAATGCATTTCCAAACGGTGTGAAAGTAATCTCTCCATGTGCTGTACTTATTCTCGCACCAGAACTAACACTTATCCAAGACATCATTCTCCCCTGCTTGTAAACTCTGAAGAGGCCTATCTAAGTCAGGCGATGTGCTCACTTCAGGCTGAGAAAGTGTGATGAGGGACGGGTATAAATTCTCCACAGCCCGAAATACACATGCCTGCTATAATTAGTGAGACACGAACAGGGTCGCCTATGTAGCACACTGAATATCACAGCAGCTAACCATCTCTTTGTAATATTCTTTAATGGGCAAATATTAAGTTCAGGCCGCAGAGACCCAACAACCTCAAGGACGGATCGTTTGGCCGTGCTTTGAATGCTGCTTTGAATATTTATGCAGCCTGAGGAAGTCTGCGAGGCTGAATAAACTGTATTAGGTGATGAAGATGGGCTCATAACTGTATGTTGGCACAAAACTCAACTCGGATAGATGGTTTGCATTTTGTGCCTCTCCCTCCAAAATGTAGATAGCGCAACTTTGCAGATTTCTTTTTTGTTGTTGTCCTTTTTCAAAACTAAAAAAGATTAAAGCCAACATTTCTAGAGCCTGAGGTGTTGGTAACGCCATGTGTTCTTCGAATCAAAATCAATGAGTCACCACGTTAGATGAAATGGGGGGTGGGAGGGTAAGCGAAGGAGAGCAAGACTATCCACACTGTCGAGAATAGAAGTGTGTTATATATATATATATATATATATATATATATATATATATATATATATATGTATACACACATATACACACACACACACACACATTTGCTGTAAGAAATGTAGTCAGCACAGCAGCTGTGAAATGATGGTAAAACTGTCAAATTATAAGCCGACAAGTATAAATCCCCATAGTGAAAACACAAACTGTAGTTTGGTTAAGACTGTAGCATGATATGCCGGTATGTGACACAGGATGATAGCGCACAAAATTGACATGTTGCACGTTGTTTTTCGTTCTTCTTTTCTTTCTTTCTTGGCAACAGTATGAGAGAAGTCCAACAGTGAAACACACAGGGACGGGAAAGAGGCAGGGAGTCATTTGTGTTCCTTAACTGGGCCGTTCAAAACTAGTTAGTTCCCGATTTGGAGGATGCACTGCGGCTGCTGCACCAAGCATGTTTTGGTTCAATGCGGGGGGGGGGGGGGGGGGCGCGTGGGGAGGGGGGAAAAAGAGACAGCTCAGCAATAAGAAAATGGCGGTTCAACGTTGTGGCGCAATACGTAACCGAGAAGAATGGTGACATGGTGGTGCTGCCATAGCTGGAAGACTGAAATGTGGACACAACTGTAGCTAATCGCGTGCAGTCAGCTACTACCTGCAAGGCGTATTGTTATGTAATTGCAGTCATCAGATATCATAAAACCCCCATCTGCTTGTTGCGCATGTCAAGCTGCATTTAAACCATCCTGCTGATGCGCTTTGCAGGAAGAGCTGCATTAATAGCTAACGTGAAATGACAAAATGGTTGTTAGCATGCCATCTAACCCGAACGCCGAAGGCGTTCTTGTTAAATAAACAATACGAGTCTACGGATTTCGACTATTATTACACTGCAAAACCACTCAAAGACGCTGCAACCACGCCCACTGACGGGTTAAAAAAATAAACATGCTGCCAACCTTTATGCATGCAGACTACAACCACCTGGATGTTTGCTTGGTGTCGCATTTTAAATCGTTTCCGTAACAATTTCTGAAACCTGCGCTCCACTGTGGATAACAGAAAATTAAAGGGAGCTCTCTAACTTGAGCTGCTGATTATAAATTTAAGTGAACTGCCAATAATAGGAAGCGCCACTAGGTAAATATGTTTGCTAGGCTTCCCCGCCGTCCTGCAAAATTACGATACAAACTATGTGTCAAGTAGAGTTTTGGTCTTTGCAAATGCTTAAACGAAACATTCACGTTAAAACACGAATTAATTCAACAGCGACCACTTAAGCCTTAGCATCGAGACGCCAGCGAAGCCTTGCTAACATGCTAAGTGTTAGCTTGATACTCACCATTGTTCCGTTGAGTTTTTAAGCTCTGCGAAGGAGACAAATGTTTGATTTGCGACTCTTACTTTAAATTACCGCAGAGAATGTCACCTTGATAAGACAATCAAAACAGATGGAATATAAATGTCTACAGTCTCGGAAATATGGATAGCCTGCACTCTAGTGTTGCCCGGAAACCTCAATCCAGCGACGCCGGCGTTGTGCTTCGGCTCCTTTAAAACAAAAAATTGTATCCTTCCGCCGCTGTTCCCCTGGTGTTCTACATCTCCAGAACTGACCAGAATTACAACTACATAACCCACTGCTGTATTCTTTTAATACTGATTTTTTATTTTTAAATCTTAATTATAATTTAACACTTAATAAGCCACACTACACTCTTTGCCACTCTAGGTAAGCAATGTGCGCAAAGATACTAAAAGAAATCTAGCATAGGGACATTTTCCCAGAACAAAAACCAAATGCTTTCAAGAAATTATTGATTTTTTGTAACTTTACTTGTGTAGTAAAATATTATCAGTCAACAATATAAGTAGTATATGTCATCCAGAGCATGTACCCTTATGGTGCAAGAAAAGCAATAAACAGATAGAATATTATGAATTGCAAAATGTTTTGTTTTTGTGGTCAAAATATGAAGAAAGACTGGCTCTGTCCTCTGAAATATTTGGAGATGATTGTGCAAGAAAGGATATTTCAGTCCAGTTTTACTTTTCATGAACTATTTTGAAATAGTTAATATAAACACGAACTTTAAGACATAATTTAAAGGATAACATATTTGCCAATGTTGCATTAAAATGGTATATGTTTCAGAGGAGAACCACAATGAAGATTAGTTAAAGTGAGATGCTTTAACTGAGCTTATACAATAAGTTACTGAGACTGTATTGATCAGGAAATCAACATAACATGGATTATTATCTTGATTTCCTGAACAACAATAAAATAGTCAACTTTTAGTTTGCATCACACAACTAAAAGCTTAGACCGTGGGTCTTCAATTCCAGCCCTGAAAGGCCAGTGTTCTTCAAACCTTTAGATGTGTCTCTGCTTCAACACACCTAAGTCAAATAATGAGGTCATTAGCGATACTCTGAGGAACTTTATTGCAAATCCAGGAGGGAATCAAGCCATTTGATTCAGGTATGTTGGAGGAGGGACACAACTAAAATTTCACTAAAGTAGCAAAAAGTAGCTACATCCTATTACAGCAGCGGTCCCTCAGGACCGGAAATGAGGAACACAGATTTACAGTCATGTTTGAATAACCCGTAAAAGAAAGGATAGAAGATGGTGTTATAATATCCAAAGTGAGTGAAAATCAGAAGAAACAAGTGAAATTGAGCTTTTGACAAGTAGCATGGGCATTTTATCATCGTGTTCCCTGCTTTTTAGCTTAAATACGCAGAAAAAGCTGTAAGTTTTGTTTAGACGTGTGTCATCACATCAGTTTTATGACTAAGCCAGAATGTGTTCAGTCAGATTAGATACGAACTCTTCTATTGTTAGCAACAACTTTAAGAGGGTAGATGGTAGATCTGGAGAGAGCTTGAATCCTTTTTCTTATCAGGAACAGCAGGAGGTTGTTTAGCTATACAATTTTGATGCAATAAGCTCTTGTTGGGAATAAGTGGGATATAGTTTTCTGCATATTTTCTTTGCATTTTTTTCTGTTGCAAACATTACACTGAACTCATCCTCTTGTGAATTTTATCCCTGTTGTCAGCTCATGTTAATTTTTTTTAAATACCCAGCTGGTGCTGCAATAGGCTCCATAATTTATGCTGCATATCAAGTTGCTGCACATATATGCCACTGATGTTTCCTCAATTACCACTGGTCCATCGACTTCCTAACTCAACCTTTGTTTAAAATTCTGCTTGAACATATTCAGATAATATGAAAAGAGGTTTCTTTAGTACCAGTTGAGCGCTCTAGTCTCCAAACCATCATTGTAAAAATGTTGTTTTGATGTAAACCTGGTTTTCAGGAGTCACAAAATTGGGACACTTTGTTTACACAACTGCACTCCTTTGTTTTTTTTTACCAGTCAAGCAGAGATTTTCACAGTCCATCAGAGGGCAGTAAAAGACAAGACACAGGTTTCTAAGGTTTATTCAGAGACTGTTTCCTTCCTTTTCTCATCCATAATGTTTTACTTTATGTCTGTCTATATCTTTAACTCTATATCTATATATAGATATCTAGATATCCATATATGCTGTACATATCTATCTATCTATCTATCTATCTATCTATCTATCTATCTATGTGTGTGTGTATGGGTGTGCATGTGTGAGTGCGTTTGTTTAATACCTTGTGGGGATCATTTTCCTGACACTACGTTGTTGGGACCTACTGCCCCTTGTGGGGACCGAAGCCTGATCCCCACAAGGGGAAACGCTGTTTTTGGGTCAGGGGTTAGATTTAAGACTAAGGTGTGAACTGAGTTTTGGGTAGGCATAGGGTTAGGTACATAATGGTTAGGGTTAGGATAGGGGTAAGGTTTGAGCTGTAGAATGAATGGAAGTCAATTTAAAGTCTCCACAAAGATAGCCACGTGTGTGTGTTTGTGTATATGTCCTTGAAGTTGCAAAACTAACATTGGATTAAAATCCAGAACCTTTTAATTAGGAATTCATGACTTCATCATAATAAAGGTAACACGAGGTGCAATGCTGTTTGTCACTCTTCACTCTAGGAAAGACAAATAAACCTATGATACCAGTGAGGTACACATACACATAAGTGAGGCTATCACAAAAAAATGACTTCTCAACTAAATTAACCATTATCTCGAGTCAGGCTAGTAATGAATGTTTAAAAAAAACTGGGACTATCTTGCCAGAGCAGGATAGTATGAGGTACAGAAATCTCAAAAATACACTGCCACTCTTACACACTTTTTGGCCTAAGCACATGCTACTCCAATAAAACTGTTTTTAAGGATTTTAAAACATTTTCACAAGATGTACCAATAAATGTGCTCACATATACATTACCTGTCACTTAACAGAGAGACACAATCTTGTGTTCTCGCTGTCTAATACCATCTCCTTCTCTAGTTTGATGGACAATCAGCAACTTGAACTTTCATTTCTTCTGGGCATGTCTGTGATAGCCTGAGTATCTTCTGATGGCTCTCACCATCTCCACTTTTTTTATTTATTTTTTTATTTTAGGGGAAACTATGTTTAAATCCTTGAATCCTGTTAGACTGGACTGCTGAGAGTATTTTCTAAGAAGTTCCAACATGGCTAATTTACAACATCAAGAATGGCCAATGTAGAACTAAGGCACCCAGACGTTACATTGCATGGTAGCAAACAGCCTCTCCCTTTATTTGAACATCTGATAAACCTACAAACCTCCCCTAAACCCTTTTCACAGCTTTTTAACAGAGTTGTAACCTTTTTATCCTTTATTGATCTTCCCAACCTTCTGTTTAGGTCTAAATGCTTCATCTACTGTGTACTACCCAAATACGTGTATCTGCTATGGCTGTCCAACAAGACTGAAGCCATGGATCATGCATCATGTTAAATGCTCATGTTGATGTTGATTTTTTTTAATATATATTGATCTGAGCAGCTTTTGTTTTTATGTGAGGAAAGAACTTATAAAAATGACCACTGGGAGACACAGAAATCTCACTTTAAAAAAAGGAAAATGCTCCGCTGCTTCATCCCAAGCTCGAAGCTCCTCCTTTTCATTTACCGAGGGCGTTCCGCAAATGATGGATAAAATCAAACGGGAGGCTGTATTGACGCTAACCGCTTATGCAAAAACGGTAACGTTTATCTGGTAAGACTTTAAAAGTTCATTTCATGAGTTATTTGTGAAATGTAGCATTCACCTGTTGTTTAGTTACTTGTTTTTCCTTTTTGCTGGACTACTACTCTTTTACTGCTGTGGAGAAGGGAGCTCTCTGCTGTAAAAACAGCCTGCACAAGGACAAGTGAGGATGGAGACGAGCTATCCTCACTGAAGAGTGCCTCACACACGCTTCGGTCCGTGTGCTTCTGAGTGGCATAAACCTCTGGAAGGAACTCTACCAGCCCCACAAAACTATCTGCTTAAAAGGACAAAGATGAACAATCAAGCTGCTTTTTGTGATAATCAATGGATCAATGTTTTTGTAGAGTTCAGCATTGGAGTAGATTGGTTTCTGCAGACCAGGAATCTGGGTGTGAACCAACAAGTTTGGGGAAAAATATGGGAAAAAACACGAACAGGAGTGGTGAGAAACATTCCTTGGTGGGCCACTTTTCCCACAATCTCTGGGAACCAGGAGCCACTCTGGCTCTCTGTCTTGTTTTCCATTCCAACTCCATTAAAACATAAGCAGCTGCCTAAGCATGTGAGCTTTTATTTGTGACAATTTTTAAAATTCTTTCCACATCAAAACATGTTCATGTGCATATCTTTGCCTCGTGTCTGTGCGGTTGGGTGTGTCGATCACCATCCCTTGGAGTTTTACACCCACAAAAGTGAATGAGGAATATATTGATGTGGCATATTTTTGTGAATTCCTAAACCAGTGAAACTTGGCAAACCCATAGCTTTTGTTCAGTTCCAAGAAAAATATCCCACAGATGACTTGAAAAAGTTTAAAATTGCATTGTATGGCGACAATTCAGTAATTGACTGTTGGCCAAAATCAGTTGCTCTTACCTTTGGATGCTTGCAGTCCTCTTTTAACAGCTTTCAGTCTCAACTATTACAGCTACTGGATGCAAGTAAGACAAAGGGCATTTTGTTTTCCAACAGGAATAAAGTGACCGCATTTCTCCCTGCTATCACTACCAGACAAGGTGTGCCCATGGATTTTGTAGCATCTTAAAAATATGTTGGCATCACCCTAGATGCCAACATAACAGCCACAGCAAGAGTTGTTTCTTCATCACTACTAGCACAGACCTCACTCACAATTGCACTTCATATTCTTTAAACACTTGCAGATTCTCACACTGGTACACTTTGATATACAAATCCATTCTCCTGCTGACTGCATCACGTCATGTTACATTTAATGCAAAAAAGTACCACAGTCTCCATATATACAAAACATTTAATCCCTCTCACACATACAAAACTGAGTCTCTGACATACAAAATAATGAGTCTATATTTTATTAGTTTATATGTGCAATCTTAGTCTTGTGACTAAGACAAAAAAATTGTTTGCATGTGATATTTTAGTAGTG